TTTCCCACCTTGCTGAGTGTGTCACCGGCCAAAGGGCTTTACCCACAGTGGATGTGTTAACCTGGGTTTGGGAGACATAACAGTTGACTGTGGCTAATGCAACCCAACAAGTTCCTAGGTTTGGAAAACAAAACAAACCATCATGGGTAAACTGGGCTGGCTTTGGACAGCATGACAGCCCACCATGGCTTGCTGCCCTTGGCAAGTTCTCATGTCAGGCAAACCAGGGGTATACAGTTTTGTGAATACCAAATCATAACGGCACATACAATTTTACAACATTCTGGCAAATACTGACATTTGAACATAAATACAAGAAATGGAAAGAGACACATTCAGACAACAATTGAATTTTATTTCATTAAAATTTGAGACAACATGAGAGATCATTTGCCCATTATTTCTTTAATAAATCTGGATAGTTGCTAATAGCCAGGCTCCTCTACTTGCATGATTCACTGACTGATATGGCACATATTCCCAGTCCATTGTCCCTGCTTTATTTTATTTCCATTAACAACACATGCAATAGTAAAAGGGTTCATGATTGCAAGGAAGACCAATGTCAAATACACTCTATAATTTATCAGATAAAAGTGTCAGATCCAGTTTACAAAGTAGAAAGCGAAGATTTCACATAAAGGTGTTTGTACTGAATTTTAAAAAAGAAAAAAAATTTCTACTTTTGCCAGGATCTCGCTATAAGTAGGGCTGGAAAGTGTTTCAAACTGGCATGTTTAAGTATCCAATTCTTAGATGCTATTAACAAAATTCATAGTACTGGCCCTGCACAGTGGTTAGGTCTCAGATTTCTAGCTTCAGGTTTGTTTCTGTCCATAGTACATGTTTGGAAATGTCTCTGCTCTTATTGATTCTGCTATTCGGTGTCCCCCAAGAAAAGCTTTTCTTTGTGTTCTCTTTATGAGGTTAGGTATGTTGTGTTTAAAGTGAAGGCTGCTCTTGGGTGGAGCTCCAGCTGCGTTCGTGTATCCCTAGGGATGCCTATGAAACCCTTTTCATGTTCTTCCAGAGGAGAAATAATATGTTAATGTAAACTGACATAGGAATTAAAATAAATTATGCATCTTCTTTCAACTGCTTTTTTGATGTGCCAGTAATATTAGTAGACTGTTTTACCAATCGTTATTGCTATTCTGATTATATGTCAATCTGAGTAACAAATCGCTTGAAAAGATAAATATTTAGTGTCATTGCAATCCTATGCTTTCTTAATTGAAAGCAAATCTATACTCTTTAAAAGTCCGTTATCAGACATATTTTACACATTCAACACCATCTATATAATCATTATATTAACTGCAATTATATAACTGCAATTATATAAATCAACTTTACAAGCATACAAGTAGAACAGCTATTGCTAAGCCTTAATGTCAGAAAGCCTCTTGCTGCTAAGACAGAAGGCCTATCCTTGTTCCAGAATTGAAAAAAATGCACAACTTCTTCATTGTGTCATTTTTTTCTTCCCATAAAAGTTTATAAACTGTTATTTTATTCCTGTTCCTATTATTGCATGCTTTTGTCTCCACTGAGAGATGGTAGCAGTGTAGATTTCTAAACTTTTGCCAGTAATATACATGTGTCAATTAGTATGCAAATAACCCTGATGGTGTGTTTCTCACTTAGGATTACTCCATTGTTTGGAATGTTGAATTCTGGTTTGTTTTGATGTGTGAATGTGGCCAAGGTAATGAATCATGGTTTGTCAACAATGAACAACCCGGAAATGGAAAGTTTGACTTGGTTTGCATGGCACCATACAGTTCATTACGATAAACTAGAGCACCCAGTTTATCGGTGCCTTTTTTCACATTCTACACTCACTTGTGGATTGTCATGTTGTGCGAATCCAGCAAGTACACTTCATGTGAGGCATACCCCCATATAACTCATATGGGCTGTTCTCACTGGGTGCACATGATTTGATAATGCCCAAATGGGGGTTATATATGCAAAATGGCACATATAAGGAGGCCCCTTCTGACTCACTCTATTTCTATGTTTCCATGTGTTCCACAGGCACCCTAGTCTCACTGTGGCAAGCTGTTGCGTCACACGAAGAGGTCTTATTCCTTGCTGTGATCTCTAGTTTGTTTAACCCTGTGGACCAAGCTTTCTGACACCGTCCGGCAAATTGACATAGGTCATTGATTACAATGAAACTCTTCAGGTTGCACTGATCAAGCTTTCCAGAGTTCATGATACTCTTTATAGGATTACAGCCTCATCGCATTAGATCGCCTAGGCACAATGCTATCAACACATTCCTTTTTGCAAGATAAAGTCCCAAAGCTAGAAGTCACACATTTAGAGGCCAAAGTCCACCAGTATATTCCCATACAGAAGTTTATTGGCGGAGGAGTTCAAGGAGACAAGTGACCCAGATTCACAGTAAGCTGACGCAAGAAAACATGACCATGTTGCTCTTCACCCAGTGATTAAGCACAGGGGAAAGACTACTAAAACTATTCCAACAGAGAAATCTGACCCACTAACACAGTATTTCAGAGGTATCCCTGTTCTATCCTTCAGTGCTATGGATGGCACTCCAGAAGCCACTTCTGCAGAGTCCTGCTTCCCATTTAGTTCCCACAGAACATTAGAGCCATGATGGATCAGATCACGGGTTCATCTAGTCTAGCATTTTGTCCCCACAGTTGCCAACCAGCCGCCCACAGTAAACCCACAACCTCCCTTGCTGATTTTCCCCAACAGCTGGTTTACATAGGTATACTGCTTCAGATACTGGGAGTACCATATAGCCACCAAAACTAGTAGTCACTGATAGGTATATTCTCCATGAATTTGTCCAATTCTTTTTAAAGCTTCCATCATGTGCAAGTAAATCCCATAGTTTAACTACATGCTGTGTAAACTCCTTTTATATGCCCTGAATATCTCACAGTCAGCTTCATGGGATGACCCTGAGTTCTAATTCTAGGACAGAATCTGATCCTGATTCCTGAACCACAGTAGTACTGGAGCTGGACGTGGGTAGTTGTTACATGTGAATTAAGAACTGTGGGTTATTCATGGACTGCTTTGCCATGCTACAGAAGTGGTAGGCAAAGGTGGTTAAGAAGAAAAGGGAGGGGGGAAAGCAGCTGCTTTACATGGCAGCACTAGAACATTGTGTAGACATTTGCGGTACAGGCAGGAAACATGGGAGAAGGAAAGTAAACCCAGGGAAAAACATTTATGGTTTGCTTGACAGTCTGCCAGATAGACCTTGGGTAAGGAAACAAACTGTGGTTGGCATTGTGTGTGAACCAGACCACTGTGCTCTTTCCTTAAATGTCTGTCTATTGTCTTTAACAACATGCTGACAAAAGTGGGATAGCATAATGTGTTATCCCTTTAATTCTGTGTACAATATCTAACTAATATTTTTCACCTGAGAACATTCCTACCAGATATATGCAGGATATATGCTATCCTGTCTGTCACAACTCCAACAAAGATATTATAAACCCAAGGTTCATTCAGGCCAGTCTATCAGGAATATAATCCATTTATGTAATATTTTGTTGATGTTTTCCTTTGATATTGTATCTTGAAGAAGAGTTCAGATTTCTTATACCCAATCTTTGTCAGAAAGTCTAATACTAAATCCCTTTTCCAGTTCTGTTTCTGAATATAATTTATATTTGTACAGTTTGCTTTTAGCAAGATCAAATACTGTTTTGAAGTGTCTGTTTTGCTTTTCTGTAATGGCATGCTTTTCATATGTTAATATTCTACTTATAGTTATGACTCTTACCATGATTTGAATATACATTGAAATCTACAGAAACTGGTAAATGCAAAGTGGACCTTAGTATGTAAAAGTCCTAACTGGTTATTTGACTCCTTGTGATAGGACCGGAGGGGGTCCAACAATGCTCGGCTTCAAACTTTCCTGTTCCTCTTGCTTCTCTTATGCATGAATTGCAGAAGTTAAAGGAGGACTATCAGGGGATAATATTGACCTATACTCATCCCATATTTTTACAATTATATTTCTTACTTTATTAACATGTTCTTTTTCCTACCAGGGATCCCAAATCCATTACAAGAAAGGAATGCCAAGGGCAGGGTGGAGCATTTCAATATCCAGGGTGGAGCATTTTATTAGTTATGAAACCACTGAAATCTCACTATATTCAAAGGATTTGTGAATAGCTTCAATCCAGACTGATAAGAATGGTACCTTGCTATGACTAACATTTCCTGGATTTTGGCCAGGAATGAATATCCTAGTTATTCCAAAGTGCTATTTTTCACAAGGGAAAACAACATTGCTGTTGAGAGTTTCCAGAACATTTGCTGAAAAGACCCGTTCCTACTGGTTTCATTTATCTTCCCAATGCATAATTTGCTTTCTGACTCACAATTATTGGAAGCACGACAACTCACTGCTCTTTAAGTTAGCATGAAACCAACTTTCCGCGACTCTTCAAAACACACACTGCAGGCAGCTTCCTTCGCACAAATCAGGCAGGCGCTTAAAAACTGAGAGTGATGTGGGGGTAGCGTGGGGGGAGAACAAGACAAAGCCGCTCAACTCAGGAGTCGAAACACTTCCTCTAGGAGCACATGATACTGTCAAGCATCCAATCCTGCATGTCGAACGAAGTATGGATAAGGGGGAGGCTGGGCAGCGAGCTGGGGAGTGGGGAGAACTGGGAAGCAAAACTTTCCCGTTGTCCGCAGGCCTGTCAAAATGCTGGCGACTTCTCAAGACGGGAGGTGAATCAGAGGGGAGCTATGGCACTGGTGAGAAACCATCTTTCCTCCTGCAACCCAGGAGAGAGTTTTAGCAGCTTCATCTCTCACGGATGCAGAGAAAAGGAAACACTGCTTTGCATGGAACTTATCCAGATACACGCTCTGCCCTTCGGTCTCTCTGATACTCCCTCTGGAGCACATGGCTTGCGTTTCCAGCTCTCTTCCGTGGCTCTCGGCTGCTTCTGCCCCGCCAGCCCAGCCCCGCTACTCACCAAGATCCCTGTCTTCTTCCTCCCCTTCCAGCTCGTCGCCTTCATCCTCGAGCTCCAGCAGCACATCTCGGTTCTCCACGTCCATCCTTGCCGGAAAGCTGTCGCGGGGACAAACTTGCGGAGCGGCGCGCTGCTCCGAGCAGATGCGAGGCGCGAAGGGAGGGCGCGGGAGGCGGGCAAGCGGGAAGCGGAGAAGGGCAGGGCGGGCCGGGCGGGGCGGAGGATGCCGCGGCCTCGCGGGGCTCCCTTTGGCGGCTGTCCCTGGAAGGGCGGAGCGCCGTTTCCCTGGGTTGCCGGAGTCACCGCGGCGTGGCTGGGGCCGATGGTTGTGCTTTCTCTCTCCGCGGCCAGCTGATGCAGGGACGGCCGGCTTGGGTGGCCCCTCTCCAGATGTTTGCGCCTGCAGTTCCCATCAGCCCTCGGCAGCCTGGCCGGTGGTGGGGGAGAACGGGCGCGGGGGGCCACAGCATCCAGGGGAAGGCTGCAATGTGCTCACCCGCGTGCGAATGAACTGAAGCAGTGAGCAGCGCCTGGTCTTGCACGTCCGAAGGGTGGTTCTCGATCACTCGTCATGGGGCTCAGGGATGCCTCACTCCGGGGAACTTCCAGTTCATTGCACCCATGCAGATGTAGCCGGACTATGCTGGTGGGATCCCCGGCTGGACTTTGTCTCCCCACCATCCCACGTTGCTGACGATACCGCTGGGTTAAGTGCGCAATATTTATACAATAGCTCTCTAAGTGATCATGGGAAATGCACACAGCCTAAGACAGGGGACCAGACCCTGCTAGTGCGGGTGATCAGGCAGACTGCATCGCATCCCTGTGCGCAGGGAAGCTGGTGGATCTTCCTTCGGTGGGGGTCCGCACTCACAGCAGCTGTTCTTTTCAGACTTATAAGAGCTATCCATGGTCCTGAACACCCCCCCTTCCCAGCCCCAGACGTTTGCGGCTAGCAAGCTTCAGGAAGGGTTCCTATGCAGCTGGCAATTGCAATGAATACGGAGCCCCACTGACACAGGAGTCAGCAGCCTCCCCTGCGTGTGTGCCGTACCAGAGGTGCCCACCCTCCATTTAACTTCTCTAACGACTCTGTGGGGAGTGCTGCACCCCGAACAATGGCAACTTGCAGTAGCTAACAGAAAACTGCAGTAGGGGCACACTAACAGACACAGCAATGGACTGTGGGTATTTGGCCTACAGAGTGTGCTGCTGAGCGATCCAACCAACGCCAGTCCTAACAGGGAATTCCAAAGCGATGTGACCATCTCTCAATATACCCATGAGAACGGCAGTGTTAATGGTGAGTACAAAATCTTTCTGATGCTATGAGCTGTCCGATAATAGAGTGGACCAGCTCTGAAGGCTGTGAATTCTCTTTTCTTAGAGGTTTTTAAGCACAGGCCAGATGGCTGCTTCACAGAGATGCTGGAACAGTGGTTTACCTGCATGAAGAGGGGGTTGGACTTGGTGACCTTTGAGGTCTCTTCCAACCCTGAATCAACAAATTCTTTATGAGTCCACAATTCTTCTACTGCTAAATATTTTCAGCTATTGTCTCACTCTTGTTCCATAGACTATTAATTAATGGTGCTTTGGATCCCATTCATGTTTATTATTTTGCATGCATGCTTACTATTATCCTCACAACAACTCTTTGAGGAATGTTAGGTTAAGAGGTCATCCACTGATTTTCATGGCTGAGGAGTAATTTGAAACTGCATCTTCACTGTTCAGGTTAAACAGTTTATCTGCTAACACCATAAGAATATAAGAAAAATTGTGCAGGATTAGGCCAAAGCCTATCTAGTCCAGAATTCCATTTGCACCATGGGAAGCTCACAACAGCATGCATGTGCAATAGCACCTTCCTGCTCATGTTCTCCAAGGGCTGGTATACAAAGGTATTCTGCCCTTCCGACTTGAGATAACACACAGACAAAAGGAGTTAAATACAACCAGAAGGTGATATGCGAATGGGTGAGGGAAACACTGAACTGTTCATTGCTAATATCATAAAACAATTAAACATTACCTAGTACTCTTTGTGAAGTTACTTGGGTATAGGCAGTAGATAGATATATAAAAGTGGGAGGGAACATATTATAATGGTTACTTGCCATGTTCACCAAGCATGCACATAATTGGTAAAATCTGGGAACCTGCCCTTCAATAGATCTGAAAAATATGGAACAACATGAATAAAATCACAGCTTATAAACAAGGAATAACACAGTGGAGGCATGCAGAACTGGTTTCATTTATTGAATTTTGAAACAGATATAAGACTTCTGGATCTGATTAAAATGATTTGCTGCCAGACTGGCAGATGCCCTCAGAGCATTGCACAATCATAAAAACAACAATTAACTAATAACTGAAACAAATGCAACAATGAAAGTATTGAACCATTAAAACATGAAAAATCAATTAAAACCTAAGTAGTAAAGTTGACAGTTAGAGCATCAGATTAAAGATTATGTGCCTGCTTGAAGAAATAGGTCTTAACCTGGTTTCTACGTATCAATGCAGTGAAGATACCAGGTTGATTTGGCTGGAAAAGACATTCCCTTCAGAGAATGTATGTTCTGTCCTTGGAAAGAGTGGGTGGAAGCACCCAGAGAATGGTCTCTGAAGATGATATTAGTAATCAAGAATTCCTTCACGAAGACTCGTCCTAATCCAGTTAGGATTTTAAAGATCAGCACCAACACTTTGAATTGGGCCCAGAAGTGGACCAGCAACCAGTGCGGTTAATGTTCAGAGCAGCCATTTATGTTCAGAGTGGCCAATTCCAGCAAGCAGCTGCTGCTCTCTTCTGCATTAAGTGAATTTTCTGGACAATCCTTAGAGGTAGCTCCATGTCTAATACACTACAATAACATAGGCAGGAGGTTACAAGGGCATGGACAAACATTGCCTGACCATCTCTGTCTAAGGAGGGCTGTACTGGCATGACAGCAGAAGCTGATAAAAAAAACACTTCATCCTGCCAAAGTGACCTTTTAAAACTAGTGGCAAAAGCAGAAGAGGGGAGAAAATGAAACAGCACTGCTTGGCTGCGTTCTCTTTCTCAAACACATAAGGAATAGCTGAGACTTAGGAAAGGCTTTTAAAACATCTTTTTTCCTTTTCATTTCCCCAGCACCGAGAAAGGCTTATTACAGTTTATTACACACTGAAAAATGTTGCTACTTGCCAGAGCAAGGTGTAATAAAAATATATGTACAAAGTCCCTTGGGTTCAGGGAATACATAGTAGCATTGAGATTTGAGTCATGTACTGTGTATGTATTTGTGTATCATATGGCTTCATGACTATCCACCAATTATATTGTAGTTGCTGAAACTGACATATCAGTATCAAGCAATCTGAAGTCCTGTAGTAGGATACACACTGCCAAGAATCTGTCACAGGGCTCTAGTTAGCATTCAAAGAAATAGCATATAAATATATATACACAAAATTGTCGTCAGATCCTGTTCACACACCCCACCCTTTGTTAAAATAGGGAACAGCCCAGGAAAATCAGAACTATTCTTTCATTTTATGAGCTTGTTTATTTTTGTCTCCCAGTGGCTAAAATACACTTTCCAAATGTTGCAGGGACTGATAAAAACATAAATCTTGTTTGTATGACTGGACTGCATTTCCTAGCACCAGAATTTATTCCCCAATATTTCCATTTCTTTTAAGAAGGCAAGCAGTGAAGTGTTTGAGCAAATAGGCTGATAAACACACACACACACTCACATTCATGCGCATTCTGGTAAGCAATCATAACCTATTTTAGTGTTGTTTCCTGTTTTGTTTAATCCTCCAGAGACTCGTTAATATTCATGCTTCCACTTGCAACTTCCAGTGCAAGATTACATCTCTTTTGCCCTCTACTGCTGTGAGTTAGTAATAACAGTTGACCATATGATAGCAATAACAAACAGAATTCATTTCAATGGAATTGAAACCAGGATGAATCTCATAATGCTTATTAAACCTGTTTAGGAAAACATTCCCGCTGCGTGATTTGCATCTGTTACTATAGAAGTGTTTGGTCATACAACAGAATGCTATTTTTATCTCACCTATGCTGGAACAAATTTATTCTACCTGGGAGAAAAGGGCCTGGGAAGACACTTTACCATAAACTTAAAATAGATACCAGGTGCTTGTTTCATGTGTGCATAGAAGACTGAAACAGCTTAGATATGCTTCCAGTGTGGTTCTGCTACCTTTACCGCTACTTGAGATTTTAGTCTTTGGCTGTTCCTTATTTGTCATTGCTTATTCACACTATAGTTTAGGAAACTTTCCAGACCAACACATACTGGACAGCGTGTACGGCATAATTCATGCATTCATCATTTGTGTGTGAGTGGTTTGTTTGTGGTAGTGAGGGAAATAGGTACTTTTCACACTTTCAGTTTTGTGCTAGTGCAGCCAACTAAGAACCTTCCATGAGATCAATTAGGATTGCGTCCAGACTGCTTTTCCATTGAAATTATATTCATCTTGCTTATTTGGCTGTAGTTTGAGAACATTTGCTCTTGGCCTGTTTTATAATCCATGGATTTGGAAGGTGCAGATTTTTGTGACCTTCACTAGCCTATTAAAAGTTATGAACCAGTTTTATACAATCCTAAAAATGTATGGCTGCAGATGAAATAATCAAATGCAATTTTTAGCTTTGTATTTTATTGTGTTAGTCTATCAGCCCATCTATAAGACACATATTACTGATCCTATTTTGAAAATAGTTTATAGCAGGTGCAAGAGAGAAAGTGAGGAACAACAGCTTAATTTAGTCCTTCTGTTTAATATATCTTTTCAAATAAATATACCCGTTCCTTTGTAGGAACCATACAGATGATACATGTTCAGAGATATGGCAGAACTTTTGCCTTCCTCTAGTACAATGCAACACTTTTTCTTTTCAGTTTCCGTCACTAACAAAATATGGTTGCTTTTTTGTTCAACTATCCTGTCTCACTCATGGCGATTTATGGGGGTCTGGATGTCATCATCTTCTACTGGTAGCTTTCCTGTATTTTCCACCACTTCTTTCATTCCTTTTCTTACCACAGAAAAGCCATTGAACAGAAAAGGATGAAATGGCTGCACAACATTTCTTGTTTGTAGCACTAGAAACCATCAGTCTGA